ATTAAGTAGTTTCTAGCAATAAATATTACATTAACGTCTAAACATCTGAACAAAGATAAACGTACATTTCCCCAAACTCGATTCTGAAAGGTCAATCGTGCCATCCAGCAGTCTGACATTAATTCACTCATGTGTTTAAAAAAAAAAAAGGCACTACTTTCATGTGTCTCGTATTACACCGCACACTTGCGCGTTGTTGTTTCAGACAAAAAAACTACTAAAATACTGTAATATTTTTGCAGTGGTCGTCTAGTTGTTATGCCCATTGTCTTGTACATAGTAATGGACTATATTTATCTTAGCGGAGGCGTTAAAATAATATTAGGAAATCCTAATTCAGTATTCCATTTCCATGTGTTTGTTTATGTATTTGGTGTCGCAGGCGTGCAGTAAGCGGGATAAAGGACAAAACAAACCTCTTCAAGTAAAAAGAACTGGATTTATTTTAAGTATCCTAGATCATGCTCGAATCCATAAAACTGTCATGCTTCATAAAAGTTGTGGATAAAGTTTAAGAGGAAAGTGAACGTTGGTTTAAATGAGCAGAATCAGAGTTATGCTTTATATTTTGATTGTGCCATAAGAAAATGTTTATATCATTATGAATAAAATATTCCATAAAACTATGTCAGTGATAGCCCAAGAAAAAAAGTCAGGGGAGTGGCCCAGACTTTTCAGCCAATCAGAAACTGGGTTGGCTGTCATGCCTTTGGAAGGCGGGGTTTTAGAGAGTGCATGTGTTTGATGCAAAACAGTTTAACCTGCTTATAGTATAGTATGCCTAGCCCAATAAATCATTCCTCTATTGTGTAAATCACTATGGATAAAACATCTGAAAAAATGCATTAATGAAATATCAAAATCAAATCAATATCATTGTATATACAGTATCATACAAAACAAAAAGCTTGTTTGAATTATACCGTATATATATATATATAAATTTTTTTTTTTTTTTTGAACTTGCATACTTTTATGGCTTTAGTACTTACATTTTACATTCATTGAATTGATCATTCAGTGAAGAGTGCCATGTATCAAGCTGCTGATGCAACTATACCAGCTCTATATTCTCATGGTTACTTTGTTTTGTCTATATTCTCATGGTTACTTTGTTTTGAGTGATGAATTCTCCCTGGATTTACTCGAGTTTCCTCCCATATGTACGTATTACAAGGGCTTGAATGCAGCAGAGCGTCTGTGCAGCACTGAAAAATGGCTGTTGTTGAGTTTCTGCTGTATTTTCCAGGGATCGCAGGTACATTACTGGGAGCTTTGCTGTTGTTATTGCTCTTATATCGCCTTTCCTCGGACCACAAATCTCAGAAAGAAGGGAAAGAGCCACCAGGACCCAAACCACTGCCGCTGTTGGGGAACCTGCTGACCCTTGACCTCACAAGACCTTTTGACAGCCTTTGTGAGGTGACAACTTGACATGAACACATTTAAACAGTAATAGTAGCCTAACATTTTGAGATTTGTTTGTAAATGTCTTTGTGTCCTCCAGCTCTCCAAAACATACGGGAACATATTCCAAGTGTTTTTGGGTCCTAAAAAAGTTGTGGTATTAGTTGGATACAAAACCGTCAAAGAGGCCCTTGTCAACTATGCAGATGAGTTTGGGGAGCGAGATATTACACCTGGCTTCAGGATACTTAATGATGGTCATGGTAAGAATAACTAAATGTTTTGTTTGCATTTAAATCAGTTCATAATTTACCACCAAATTGTGTTCAGTCCTTATATGGTTTATTAGCCTAGGACACTAGGCTCATAGTCTGATGGTTTTGTGTTGATCAGGGATCCTCTTTTCCAATGGAGAGAACTGGAAAGAAATGCGACGCTTCGCTCTCAGCAACCTGCGGGACTTTGGAATGGGCAAGAGAGGAAGTGAAGAGAAAATTATAGAGGAAATTCAATATCTGAAAGGAGAGTTTGATAAGTTTGAAGGTACAAGCCGAGACACGCACATGCAAACATGCTCTTAGTTTATAAGATCCATTGAGAGACGGTTTGTTGTTTCCTCTTCACAGAGAAACCCTTCAAACCAAATTGTGTTCAGTCCTTATATGGTTTATTAGCCTAGGACACTAGGCTCATAGTCTGATGGTTTTGTGTTGATCAGGGATCCTCTTTTCCAATGGAGAGAACTGGAAAGAAATGCGACGCTTCGCTCTCAGCAACCTGCGGGACTTTGGAATGGGCAAGAGAGGAAGTGAAGAGAAAATTATAGAGGAAATTCAATATCTGAAAGGAGAGTTTGATAAGTTTGAAGGTACAAGCCGAGACACGCACATGCAAACATGCTCTTAGTTTATAAGATCCATTGAGAGACGGTTTGTTGTTTCCTCTTCACAGAGAACCCCTTCAACACGACACAGCCGGTGAACTACGCTGTGTCAAACATCATCTCATCTATCGTGTACGGCAGCAGATTTGAATACACAGACCCTCAATTCACTGAAACGGTTGACAGAGCAAATGAAAATGTTCGGGTTAGTGGATCGGCATCTATGATGGTATGGAAGTAGGAATTATATATTAACCAGAAATTATTTGGTGACTTTGAAATAATTTTTTTAATCGTTAATACATGCACATCTTTCTTTCCTCTCTCTGAATATGTACTTATAAGCTATACAATATATTTCCGTGGTTGGGTCCGTTCCTAAGCAGCAAAAGGATTATTATAAGGAATTTGATGAAAAATAGAGCAGAAATTGTGAAATTAATCACTGGACTGCAGGAGACTCTAAATCCACATGACCGCAGAGGGTTTGTCGACTCCTTCCTCGTCCACAAACAGAGTGATGAGGTATGGAAATCACCATGTAGCATAGAAATGCAGGAAAAGTCAAAAGTAATCAGTAGCTTTGATTAGTAAACCGATTTAGACTTGCACACAATATGCTAAACTTGCAATGGTTTTTATTTTGAATATAGTTGAACATTTTGAATAAATTAAGTACTTTGCAACATTTAGCTTTACTCATTATTTTAGTAAAAAGGATAATTTTGTGCTTTGTGGATTTGGACTTATCAGCAATCCGGCAAGAAGGACTCATTCTTTCACCATGAGAATCTTCTCATGACGGTGGGAAATCTGTTTGTCGCTGGTACCGACACCACAGGAACGACTCTGCGCTGGGGTTTGATGCTTATGGCCAAATACCCTCAAATACAGGGTAAAAATACAGTAATGTCAAAGAGTTTTTCCTCAATGCTGAATTCAACAGTGTCCAAAGGAACAAATATGTGTTGCATTTGTGTGCAGATCGAGTTCAGGAGGAGATTGACAGAGTGATCGGTGGACGTCAGCCAGTGGTGGAAGACAGAAAGAAATTACCTTATACAGATGCTGTGATTCATGAAACCCAGAGACTGGCAAACATAGTGCCCATGAATCTCCCTCATATGACCAGCTGTGGCGTTACCTTCAATGGATACTTCATCAAGAAGGTCAGTCAGAAGAATAAATACGTATAAAGCCTTGAGAAGATACCATGTGCATCTTGAACATCAAGATTTTGGTCTTTTCTCTTCATTTTCCAGGGCACCAAAACATAGTGCCCATGAATCTCCCTCATATGACCAGCTGTGACGTTACCTTCAATGGATACTTCATCAAGAAGGTCAGTCAGAGGAATTAATATGTATAAGGCCTAGTAAAGATACCATGTGCATCTTGAACATCAAAGTTTTGGTCTTTTCTCTTCATTTTCTAGGGCACCACTGTAGTTCCTCTGCTGACGTCTGTTTTGAAGGATCCAAGCGAATGGGCAAAACCGAACAGCTTTTACCCAGAACACTTCCTTGATGAGAAGGGCCAGTTCATCAAGAGAGATGCTTTCATGCCCTTTTCTGCAGGTACGTTCAAATCTAAACACCCAGTGATTTGAAGAAATAAACATTTGAATTGTAATTAAACACATTTTTTCTTCTCTCAGGCCGCAGGGTTTGTCTTGGAGAGGGTTTGGCCAGGATGGAGCTCTTCCTGTTTTTCACTTCCCTCCTTCAGAGCTACCGCTTCACGACTCCACCTGGAGTGTCTGGAGATGAGCTGGATCTCAAAGGAATAGTAGGAATAACGTTGAATCCGTCTCCACACAAGCTGTGTGCGATCAGACGCTCCTGATACTTGACAATCAAAACATATTATACTTCATTTTAAGTAAGAACTGTCATGATTTTGCTTGATCTGAGTAAATGCACAAAATGTAAGTTTGCAAATACTTAAAAAACCTGATGAGTAATGTGTAAAATCACTTCAGACTTTTTTGTACTTCTGTTTTTGGCACAACTTGTCTTGAGTAGCAGGTGCATGGGTTGTATTTCTTTATTTTTGTACTTGTTGTGCTGTAAGAATTTTGTAGTAAAAAAAAAAAGATAATTTAACAAAAGTTTCTCAATCATTTTCTTAAACATGTTAACACAAAAATATCTTAACCACTTAAGACTACATTAAGTTACATTAATGTGTATAAGAATAATATTGCTAATGAAATAATAAACTTAAAGGTGTATTTTCTGAATATATATATATTCTTCACTTAATATCATTTGCTTCTCACTTATCTTCTCACTTGTCTATGAAGAAAAATGCTTTCCCACCCTTTGCTATTTGCCAGATCTTGGGCATTTTTTATTTATTAAAAAAAAAAATTTGCTATACAAAAGCCTTATCAATATTTTTTCAGACCTTTTAATTTAAGAAACAATAAAATTACTACAGTACAGTAAATGTTTTAAAAGTAGATAATTGGGCTGTGCTAATTTGGGTTTTCAAATTTACAGTGCTATACTTCAAAAATATGTTTTGAAAAATATAATTTTGAACTGTTGCTTTAACTGTAATTTACTGTACATCTACAACAACATTGGACTGTGTCCTAGTTTTTGACAGTCTCCACCTCCAAGACCAAATGTAGCCACTCCCACTTCACCTATGCTACATTTAAACTGCACAAGCCTCAAGGTCTTCTGGGTATTGTTCTGTGAACATGGCTCTCATGGAGGCACTCCTTCAGGTTTCCAGCACAGGAACATTAATCTGCTGCTTGCTTCTGCTCTTAGCTGTTTGTCTCCTGTTCTTCAGGTCTCAGAGAGACGAAAATGAACCTCCAGGGCCAAAACCGTTGCCACTTTTGGGAAATCTGCTAATGTTGGATGTCAGCAAACCACATTTGAGCCTGTGTGAGGTAAGTATGAATGAGATCAGTCCTTTTGACCAACCAGTTCAGCTTTGCTTCGATTGGTTTGTTGACAAACCTGACTGACAAGTTCTTAAAGAGCACAATTCTGTTTTTCACGGATAGAAAATATATGATAGTTCACCCAGAAATGACAATTCTATCTTCATTTACTCACCCTCATGTCTTTCCAAACTCTTATGACTCCTTTGTTCTGTGGGACACAAAGGAATATATTTTGAACTTGCATAGAATTGACTTCCATTGTATGAAGTGCTTGAAGTGGGAAAAAAATAAGTGCCAGTACTTACCCCCCCCCCCC